TCTGGCGCACGATCCAGTTGAGCGACGTTGTGATCTGTAGAGCATAAGACATGGCCAGACCCACAAGACCAGGGCTCAAGGGAACGTGGTTCGCGACTGTGACGACGGCAAATCCGGCAGCCGCAAGAATGACGATACCACCAATGAATTCGAGACGGACCGCAAGCCAACGATTCGCGCTGATAGATGGAAAGTAGGCTTTGAGGTTGGCATCGACACGCCACTCGTTCTCCAGCTCAAACCTCTGCTGTTGGCGGTACGCTCGGATCGTCGAGATGCCTCCGAGTGATTCCTGGAAGTGGGCGTATACGGGACTTCGGGTAACGCTGTCAAGTCTCTTGAGCTCACGAGAAGTGCGCAAGTAATACCGCTGGATCCAGTAGTAGATCAGAGTAATTGGAATGATGAGCGCGGCGAACGGAGGAGTCGTGATCGAAATGACAGCCAAAGTGAAGCCTGACCGAGCAGCATTGACGAAGAGCATGTTGAAGGTCCTGGCGAGAACCTCGTCGACCCTGTAAATGTCACTGGAGAATCTGTTGAGAATGCGACCAGTAGGTGTAGTGTCGAAAAATGACATGGGTGATCTGAAAATGGCGTTGGCCATCCGCTCATGTAGCTTCCTCGACGCCTCAATCGAGCAGAAAATCCACAGAATGAGAGTCTGGATGACGGTCAGAAGAGAAGAGCCAATACCGAAGGCGAAGTAAATCCCGATGTAGTAGCCCACATGGTCGTTGGTGTGTGATTTTGCATTTTGCTCTGACCATGTCTTGAGCCATACGGAGCCACCAATGTTGGCTGTTTGAGAAGCCAGTAGAGCACCCATGTAGATGGCGACAGCAATAATGTTGCTGTTCTTGGCATACTCAATGTACACGTTCCACTTGACCTTTCCTTGCTCGATATGCTCCTTGGTCTGCTTGGACTTGCTGCCAGCAACTTCCTCATCAGTAAGCTTGCCCCGAGGTCCCCGGAAGCTGGCGGTACTAGCGCGGCGCAGCGTTGCCATGCTCGAAGATCGCTTCTTGTTCCTTACTGAAACGCCGGTCTTGATAGGTTCCATCTCAGGAAGCTGCTCTTGAGCCTCTTCCAACTCGGCCTTTTCTTGACTGCTGCCCTCAGCTTCGATGATTGTGGACGTTTCGCTACTGGAGCCGCTAGAGTTGGCCGAAGAAGAAGGGCCTGAATCTTGACCGGCAGTCTTGATGAGATCGTTCACCATGCCCTTCATTGCCACGAGTTGCTTGTACGTTCCGCGCTCGGCAATCTCGCCATCTCTGATCATGGTGATGTAGCTGGCCTCTGTGAGCACGGCAATGGCGTTCGTGGCGAGGATTCTGGTCTTGGTGTTCAGAAGGCCTCTGGGTCCGAGAACATTCTCGATGATATGTCTTCCAACATGGGAGTCTACGGCTGACAGGACATCGTCGAGAAGGTAGATGTCCGCTCTGGCGTAGACGGCGCGAGCCAAGGCCACACGCGCCTTCTGTCCACCACTCAGGGAGATGCCTCTTTCACCTACAACAGTTTCGTCGCCATCGGGCAGCTGGGCAAAGTCGTCAACAAGAGCGCATGCCTTGATCGTCTTTTCGTAGAAATCCGGGTCGTATCTGTAGCCAAAGATGATGTTCTCCTTCACAGTCGCGTTGAGAATCCAAGCTCCCTGTGCGACATAAGCCGTGGTTCCGTGGACTTCAACCTGACCTCTGATTTTCCAAAGATCGCCCAGGATACTCTGCAAGAATGACGACTTGCCAGCGCCAACTCTACCGACAACGCAAGAAAGTTCTCCCTTGTAGGCAGTGAAGTCAATATCCTTCAGAGCCTCCTTGTCTTCATGACGGTTCCAGGAGAAAGTTCCGTTCCGGACAATGACTGTCTCCTCTCCCATCTCTTCCGGCGCGGGCTTGATCGTAATCGCATCGGGCTGGATCTCTTCGGCAGTGAGGAAGGAGGTCAAACGACCGACAGCAACACTAGCTTCCACGATAGAGGTTATGACCATGGGCAAAACCGCCAAAGGGAACGTGAGCAGATTGAACAGAGCTAAGTCACAAGAGTCAGCGCTTAGCACTTATTGTAGGTGAACGGCATCACTTACCGAGGGCAGGAAAGACGATTTCAGTGGTCAGCGGCTTATCCTGCGTCATAACAAACACGGCAAAGGTGGAACAAGACACAAAAAATGGAGCCGTACTCCATGTGAAGTTGGCGAATGCTTGGGTTGCTCCAATCTTGCGAAGATTCTTGAGCTCGAGATCATTGCGAACGAAGTTCAGCTTGTTCATGAAAGCAGCACCCCAAGCGTAAAGCTTGATGCTCTTCATGTTGTTGATGATCTCGTTGATCAGGCGACTCCTCTTGTCCTTGTTCTTCATTTGCTCCTTTTGCAAGTTTCTCATGATTCTGGCAATGAAACCATGCGCAGGCATCATGATAATCATGACGCCAATACCAGCAAGCATTGACCAGCCAACAAGTTGGTACAATGATACCATGCAGATGATGATCTGGAAAGGAGCGGACCAGACTTGCTGGGCAAATTGGGTCAGATCTTGGAGACGCTGAGCGTCGACAGCCATGTAGTTCACGATATCGCCGGTCGACTTGGATGCGCGTCCCTCGTTGGACAGTCTCATTGACTTCTTGTAAATGGCCGATGCCAGACCGCCCTTGATCCGCATACCGGTGACGAATGCTAGCTGGAAATATTGATGCTGGCGCGTGTTAGTGGAGCTGCGTCTTGCTAACTCTTACGATATGGAACTCACGATCATGGAGGTTTGCAAAACGGCGCACGCAAACATTGCCAAGGCGATGGAAGCACCCTTGATCGGAGGCTGCTCCTTCTCATCATTCTCAGTGTCGTAAGAAGCTATGAATGCAATAAGATACTTCAGGAGTTGTGGCTGAAGATACTGCGTAACATCGTTAACAGCCTTGAAGAGCGCAGCTATGGCGTATGGGCCACCGTAGGCACGGAACATGGCTAGCCACAGGGATGGGTTCTTGTGGTGCTTGAGTTCGTACTCCCAAGCTTGGTTGAACGCGTCACCAGTGTTCTTGGTCTGGTCTTTTTGAGCAAGCCCCCAAAGATCATCTTCAGTCAAGTATTGCTTGTATCCATAGCGCATCAGAGGAGTCATCCAGGAGAATGTCAACTGGGAGAATACGGTGGCATATTCAATGGGACACTCTTCCTCGTCGATCAAAGCCTCGTATGCACTGACCTTCCTTGGCCATAACCACTCAACCAGGAATTCGGCTACAGAGAGGCCGAAGCCGACGGTGTAAGTAATGAAGTAGGCCGGGCTAGTCTCGTACAGCTGCTGAGAGATCAAGGACCGGAGCTTGACTGAGTATGCGATCAAGAGAAAGAGCCAGTAGAAGAGGACGACACCGTTGGGATTACGCAGGCGCGCATGCTCGAGCCATTGAGTGGCAAAGATGACGCCCAGAGATAGGATTGTCGCAGCCGTTGTCCAAAATCGGAAGTCGCCGTACCAAACATCGGGATAATTGACGATTTGTAAAGCAAGTTGTACTGTTACGTCGGCAATGATCAATCCGAGGAGTGTCTGAAAAGGGCGGTTGGTCAGCTACAGACGAGATAAGAAAGCATTTTAAACGACCACTTGCCTGCTTGACCCAAAAATGCCAGTCTTTAGGGGCATCGGAAGGCTTCCTGCGCTGGATGAGCCATACAATGGCCAGAGATCCAAAGATGAGACCAAATGCTGCCACAGAGGCGATCCAGACATCGATGAAGCATGGTGTAAAGTCATATCGGATAGGGCTCAGCGGACCCCAACCCTCTTCGTTGCCGCATAGCGGCTGCTTGATCTCTGCAGTCGCAGAGAGATAGTTGCTACCGAGCTGTCCCAGGCGATGGAATCCGGTGAACGAGCCTGTGTGCAGAATGCGCTGCGGCGAGTAGTCGGAATAGTCCATGGCGATTGCTCTTCTGCGGTTTCCCCCAACCCGCCTGTTTAACGCATGCTAGACAGAAGTACTATTCGGAAGGGGATTTATCGGTCGGTCGTTCGTGGGGCCCTCTCGTAGTAGAGGTGGAATTGACTGATCGGAATTGTTGAGCAGTGCAATTAGACGTATACACTGGAATAGAGATCAGGAAATCGTCACAGGGGCGACGTTGGCGACGTGGGAAAAGTTTTGAGGGCGGACGACCGAGTCGGAGTAAACGCATGCGACGTACCGTGAAGTGGACGGGGGAGGTGCCCTGTGGTGGAGAGTCAGCTCGGTGTTGCTCTTGTGGTTCCAGAGTGCGAGTGACGCTGCTGCCCTCCCACTTCCGCTGCATGGTTTGTCAGCTTTGTGGACGCTGGGCCCTGGGTAAAGAAGCACCTGGCACCTCCCCGTCGCGGTCACTGATGACTGGTCCATGTCTCACACATTCGGGTTCGGAGAGCCATCCCGCGGCTTACCCAACCATAGGGCTCACCGCAGTTTAGCTCACGGAAAGGTGGGGAGCTATGACGACCTGCATTGCAGCCTTGTCCCGCATTCGGCTTTTTCGCGATACATTTCCGGTACCTCCGATGCATGCACAACTCAGTGTTCGCAGAGCCATCACTCGCCAACGTCGTGGAGTAGGGGACATGTTCCCTGTAAACGAGGGTCGCGCGTGTCAGCGTCTTGCATCTCAGTCTTTTCAGATAAGACGCTCGGATAATTGAGTCCGGCACCAGGTGCCGCGTATTGCCGTATTTTGCATGCACCGCTTACCGCATTGTGCCTCCTCACATTAGGTCCTTCGTCAGCAATGGAAAGGATGCGATAACGGAGGAGCGGTAGGCACATCATACGTAGGTAGTACGTAGTATGGGCAGGTACCTAACGGATAACATCGAACAATTGATGAGCTGTATGGCCTGAAGCACAGACGGCTTTTACCATACCGGTAGTGCACCGTAGCTCCGGTAGCTCGCCTTACATAAGCAAGTAGGTATTGGCAAGCTACCTTGAGGTGTCACAACTCACAACAAGCCTTGTTTCCCCGGATAGCCAAGACAGAAACACATTGCGGGACGTTGCATGCAACATTGCTTTTCTGATTTCCCCGACCCGTGACATTCAGAGTTCGGTGAAACCCTTGACTCTGTAGACAGCACCTTCGCGTTTATCGCGATGCGATCGTCGGGAGTTTCAACTGCCTCTGTTTCCCGCGACTCATGTACAACCATGAAACATTGAATCCGACATGGTCGACATGGTCTTTGGCTGCGGTGGCTGCTTAACAAGCGCTCCCATCTGCCTGGCCCGTCAGAGAGCCACATTCCGACGCCACCGAACGCTTCTCCTCTAGGCAGCTAATCTGCCTTCCGTCATGAAGTCCCCCAAGTCTCGTCATGGTGACTCTCAAATCCCAAGGTCAACGTAAATTGAATTGCAGCCATCGGAACGGCGGACTCAAGAAGTTAAATACCATTCAGCTGGTCTCGGCTTCGGTTTTGATCTACGCATCCAGTCAACGACAGGTTCCAGAGCGGCAATGGAATCTAGAACCCGTTGCGGATCAAACATGTCTTACCCGTTTCGCGGCGTTTTCGCGGGGTAATTCACCATCCGCAACCAGAAGTGTCAGGCTCTTACTCAGTCTTGAGGACGAGAGCTGTCTCCGTCCTGTGAATGGTGGTACCTTGCTGTCCGCTATCGCAATGTATAGGGCGCTGCCCATCCAGCCGTGCTTCCAAAGAAGCTTTTGAGTTTTCACGGCTCTCCAGAGCACTTCATTGCCGAGTCTACTTTACAACTATCGGCGCCGTGGCCGATGTTCGTCGAAACAACATCTGATATCATTGAACATCGTGGGACGGGTTCACTACCCTGACTGTCATGAAAGATTACACCTGGAGTAGTGGCTCCAGACTCATGGATCTGAAAGCGCGCAATTTGTAGAAAACGGGCCTACGATCCAGCAAAAGTACAAAATATAGCCTCCAGAAATAGCCCTTCGTGACAACCATAAACTTGAGGATGAAATGTGTCTAACTCCTACCCAGGACGAAGTCCGAACAGGTGTCTTGAGCCAAAGTCTCATCGCCCCAGCCGCGCCTCAAAGGTACACAGTTGTGCGGGTTGTTGAGATTCTTATGAGCAAGATGACCTTTGTGGTGCCTACCGCCCACCTTCCTGAGCTTGTCAAGAGCTCTTTCTCCGATACGGTCTTGCCTTCTCTATACAAGAAGGACCTGCCTCACGCCTCCAGCTTCTTTTTTTTTTCTCTTACTTCGGCAGGAACAAATCGACTCGCTTGCAAAGTAGGAAGGAAACCTCTATACCTCCTTCTCAGATTTCTTCCCACCCTTTCTTCTTACACTTCTCTCTCAATTCTTCCTCTCTTCCACCTCAACTCCCTCCCCCAGACAATTCACAATACTAATTCGAAGCTGGTCATACCTGCATTCTCGATCACACAGAGAGAGCTTCATCAAACTATCATCAGGATGTCAGATCCCCGGAAAAGACGCGAGGGAAACAAAACCGACGAGTCGGGATACTCCATTTCACCATCGCTTGTTGAAAACCTTACCATCGCGACCAAGTATGTCCAGCAAGGTGACGCTATAGAGATTGATCAACATGATGAATCCTGCACTACGACTCTCCAACGTTTTCTTTCGGTAAACGCAGTTCTGAGCACAGCATCGTCATTTGCTATCCGCCAACAACAAGCGGCAGAGCAAGATCTTCCGCTTCAGGTCATCGGAGAAGGATTTTGCGGTGCGATATACGATTTCCCTAGCAGGGGACTCATCATAAAGGCCGGTAGATCAAACAAGAAGCAAGAGATGTGGGCTGATCATGTGGCTCACGTCAAGATGTGGGAGGCTTCGAAAACCACAAAGTCTTACGCCATGCCAAGACCTGCATATATCGTACAAGTCGAGGACCTTCAAGCTTGGAAGATTGCTCACCGCAAGGAGATCAAGAGTCACTCAGGATTCTTCTTCGATCCCAGCGCGATCATGGTATCTGAACGTATTCTCCCACTACCTCGAAGCATCCGTGAGGCGCTTGTGTCCGTCTTCTGTCCGTCCGACATGAAAGCCGCCGCTTCAAACAACCCAGCAAACAAGCATTGCTTGATACGCATTTACCTTGGACGCAGACGCATGAATCAACGAGTCGAAAACAAATTCTCTCTGCGAAACTTTGAGCTCACGCTCGATAAGATGGAGATCTTGGGTGTAGACCCCCAGCAATATGTTCAGCCAATGGCTGAGGCTTTGGCGGTCATGCACTGGGCTGCTCAGATTGATGGTGCAGATGTCGAATTCGTTCTTGGCAGTTCTCCCGAGCGTCGCATATCTGCTCAAACCCTGGACTCAATTGACCTTGAAGGGGATATCATCACGACGTGGAATATGGATGAATCGAAATCAAGCGGCATCAACTTTCTCCGACGCAGCGTGAGCATCTTCTTACTGGATTTCAATCAATGCAGAAGAATGCCGCCCACTCCCAAGGGCATTGATGATGCTGTCAAAGCATTCTGGGAAAATGACCCATACTATCCAAGACCTGGCTACAAGAAGGGATCCCAAGAGTGGATGCTTTGGGAACAGTTCAAGGGCCACTACTTAGTCAAGAGTTACAAGATTCTAGATGACTCTGCTACAATGCCCGCCGAGTTTCTCCGCAGAGTCGAAGAGCATGGAAATTCAGCTGCAAGGCAGCTATTCATGGGCGGCCCCCCTCCAAATTCTGCTACGGCTTCCTCAAGTCCCACTCCTGGTCCTTCAAGCTCTATGCAAGCTTCACAGAGCCCGATACCGGGTTCTTCAAGCTCTATAGCAGACACGAAGAAAGGCAACAACAACAAGAAGCAGAGATAGTACGCAACTCTAGGATAATCCTCTCTCTACGGACAAGGCAAGCTCGCCAACTTCTTATATGCACGGGAGATGGCCAAGAGAAGTCCGTAAAAATTAGTCCCGAACATTAGAATAGGAAATAAATTGATCACTGTTTCGGGCTATCAGGTTCCCAGTCTGAGACTCCCAACTGTTGGGAAACAGGCTTTATCTCATAGTGGCCCTATCACGCGGTTGTCAAAATAAATGGCACATTCAGGTGACTATCTACTTTTTCTACTTAATTTCATAAATTCTCCTATAATTCAAATTTCGTCTAAAAGTTTTGTAATCGTTAAAAGGGGTGTTAGTTGTCTGATGACCGAGTACGTAAGTCATGGAATCAAGGTCCATGGAAAAGATACGGACATCAGGCATTGTTATGATGACCTCACCACTGCTATTAAGTCGTCTGGTAGAAACAAGATCGAACGCATTTTACATGAACTTGTTTGATCCATAATCCAACTCTAATCGGAAACGACCTAGCGAAGTTACGTTGAAAATGGGCGATAATCAAGATCAGCCTTTCACTTCGGAAAGCGAAGGTTCCACCAGGCTGCCTACAATAAAGCCTGGGATCAATACACAAACACCGACACCGCCATAGAAAGTACGCGCCGCGCAGAAGCGCGCAGAACAATACGCCAAGATTCCCGTTGAATGGCGTATCGATCAAACTGTTCCCCCTCCCAAAGACATGGACACCATTCTTCGTTCATCTGGAGTCTTGAGCGCGGAAGAGCTTGCTTGTACGGAAGTTGAAGACATCCAAGTCTTACTTGAGCAGATTGCGACTCGAAAGTTGAGCGCAGTCCAAGTCCTCAAAGCGTTCGCGAAGCGAGCAGCCATAGCCCAGCAGCTAGTGAAATGCTGCACAGAGCTCATATTTGAACAGGCTCTCAAACGAGCCAAGGCTCTAGATTTCCATCTAGAGTGGACAGGCTCCGTAGTTGGGCCATTGCATGGACTCCCGGTATCCCTCAAGAACATATTCGACGTCAAAGGGTTTGATTCTACCATCGGCAAGCCGCTGATTGCAGGTTGCCAGTGTGATACTAACAATTCCAAGGCTGGGTTAACCCCATTGGGAAGCCGGCGAAAGAAAACAGCGTCTTGTCAGACGTTCTCATAGCTCAAGGAGCTGTGCTTTTTGTCAAGACGAATGTTGCGCAGGCACTAGTGGTAAGAACCTCCACCAACATCCACTTGCAAGACCGTAGTCTCATATAGAACTTTAGCTATCGGACTCCTACAATCATGTTTTCAAACAATCTTTGAACTCACTCAACCGCGAACTGATATCTGGTGGCAGATCAGGTGGCGAAGCGGCACTCGTAGGCTGTCATGGTAGTTTGTTCGGGATCGGAACAGACCCCGGCGGTTCCATACGTATCCCAGCAGCTCTGCAGGGACTTAACGGGCTCAAACCGACTGTTGGACGACTACCGTTCGAGGAGTCGAGGTAAGTTGCTTCCCCCCAACGTTCGGTTGCTTTAAAGCATCGTTGACTAACAAGAGTGGGACGGCAGCAAATGGGAATTTATCGCACCGCCAGTGGCTGGTCCTCTAGCATTCAGCCTCTCGACAATCGAGACCTTCATGGATGGCATCTTATCTTGTGAGCCGTGGCGAAGTGATCCGACGTTGCTGCCCATCCCGTGGGGCAAGGAGCTCGCGGCCAAGCCAGACAAGCCTCTCAAGATCGGATATTACATCAATGACAACGTCGTCCGTATACAGCCGCCTATTGAACGTGCGGTACGGGCTGTCGTTGATAGCCTCACGGCTGCAGGGCACACTTGTGGGTGTTGGTCCATTGCTCGCTCTTGGAAATTTTGGCCTTGGCTGTGCCTGTGTGCTAACACACCGCACGCAGTGATCGAATGGGACCCCACCTTGCATGCCGAAGCTTACAAGGATTGGACAACTGCCACATTCGCTGATGGCGGTGAGTCTCACAGGATGCTGAGTGAGGCCAGCGGAGAGCCGTTAGTCAAAGGGCTTCTCGTTGGAACTGAAGAAGACAAACTCTCAGTTGCAAAGTCTCGCCATGTAACTCAACTCAAGCACGGATGATATGCACTACCTCGACTAATGAAATTACACAGCTGGCTGCCAAAAAGCTCAAGTATGAGCAAGAATACCTCAAGCGCTGGAGCGAGGCAGGTGTTGACGCCCTCATCACGCCGGTGGCACCCTGGGTCGGGATGAGACCCAGAGTGTGGGCCAGGTCAAAGCCTCACGTCGGATACACCTCGCACTGGAATTGGCTTGATTATGCAGCCTTGACGATCCCCGTAATGCGAGCTGAAAGCGATGGTGCCCCGAGCCAGCAGTGGACTGATCATGTCCCATGGAACAACAGCGATGAGATAAACTACCAGCTGTGTAAGCATTCTTACGGCCTCGCCTCTCAAAGGGCTGTACATACTAATGAAAAACTAGATGATTTTGAGCAGATTCGCGGCATGCCGGTTGGTGTGCAGATTATTGGAGGAAAGTATGGCGAGGAAAACTGTGTCTCAGTTGCAAAAGTCGTAAAGGATGCTCTGGAGGTCGAAACCTTGAAAAGCACAAAGCACAATATCGTAATATGACAGTTAGAAATGCTTTGTCACTAGTATCGCGTGAATCGAAGAAATAATCGAGTCGAGACAATATCACAGAAAACTCAGGTGAATGATGGTATCCGACTTTTAAAGCGGACATCGTTAACGGTATGTTGGTGTTCTCCTCAGAAACGTCTGCCAGGGGTCGTCAGAGTACCTACCTTATCTATACCCATACAGTCTAGCTTGATTAGATAGCTAAACGACGTTGCAGTCTGCTGAGCCTCAAGATACGACAAGAAAAGTACCTGTCTTCCTTGTCCGGGGAAAGGCGGGCTATCGCCTGGGTTTAAGCTTATCTCGCAGGAGTGGCAGGAATGATCCAGGCACGCGGGAAGCCAAGACCCGCAAACAGGAAACCACCAGTACAGGTAGGTACGCAAGATAAGATAAGCCAAAACCCAACGACGTCAATCCAGGACGACCCCTCCAACAACTTTCTTTCCTCCGAACTTTATTCAACTACACACTGGCGTCAACGGTACTTTCCGACTGATTATCTGGTAGCCGCTGCGTGCTGGCGAAAGAGATCACGATGACCAGTTCGCCGGCATCGCCGCGACGGCGACATATCCTTTCGTCTGTCAATCCCGGCGACAGTCACGAGAACACACCAGAGCCAACCAAGCGCAAATCGCCGCCCGCTCCAACAGACGCAGGAGCAGAAGCGCAAGCGCAAGCAGAACCAGGCGACGGCGAAAACCTGCGACCTAGATCATCCCGCTTTCGATTAAAATCCAAACATTCAAAGTCGAGCCGATCGCATCGTCACCGCGACCGTGAACGTGGCCATGATCCAGACGCCGCCGACAATGATGAGTCCCGCTCAGAACACCGCCACAGTCGCCGCCGCCACCACCACCACAGCAGCAGCCGGCGACATCGCAGACGTTCACGGTCCCCGACGCCACCGAACCCCTACGAACCCCAGGCCCTCGACCCAGACGCCGCATTCCGCGAATCCCTATTCGACGCGATGGCCGACGACGAGGGCGCGGCATACTGGCAGGGCGTCTACGGGCAGCCGATACACGTCTACTCGAACGAGAGGCCAGGCCCAGAAGGCGAGCTCGAGCGGATGACGGACGAAGAATACTCCCAGCACGTCAGGCAAAAGATGTGGGAGAAGACACACCAGGGCTTACTAGAAGAGAGGGCCCGTCGGGAAGAAGCACGGAAACGCAAAAAGGAAGAGGAAAAGGTGAATAGGAAGCTCCAAGAAGACATGGAGCGGAGCCTGCGTCGCGGGGAGGAGCGGCGCAAGAAGAGAGCATGGGTCCAGCTGTGGGAAGAGTACACACGAGGCTGGACGGAGTGGGCCAACAACGTGGACAAGATTCCCTGGCCCGTAGAAAGCGGTCGACGTAGAGACATTAACGAAAAGGAAGTCCGGCGGTTCATCGTCAACGGGCTCGGGCTGGAGGATATTGGCGAGAAGGAGTTCGCTGCGAAGCTGCGCGAGGAGCGCGTGCGGTGGCATCCCGACAAGATGCAGCAGAAGCTTGGCGGACAGGTGGACGACGAGGTTATGAAGGATATTACGGCGATTTTCCAAATCATTGATAAGTTATGGGCAGATACCCGGTCGAAGGCGTAATTTGAGCATACAGTACATGCGGATAAAAGCCTTCGACCATCAGATCATCATACGGCGCAATAGCAGAAAGGTAATTTACAGGTACGGGGTGTTTTGTTTTAACCGTCTCGGGAGAGGTCAAGTGCGATCGAGATCGCGAGCTATCAATCCCATGTTCGACTTTGCTTTTCACACGGTGAAACATTGGGTGAGGCAGTGTGGCGGGACCTGAAATGCACCATTGCTTGTCTTGCCTTGCCTTGCCAGGGCCCGCCCCATTTGGAGAGTGAGGTGGCTGGCTGCAGCTGGCTACGGTGTTTGCACTAGTAGATGTGCATGGTTCGGATACGAAGTCTGGTGCAGGACAAGCGTGGCCTGCTGCAACACTGTGTTGTTGGAGCAAAGCGCCATTTATCGGGTACAAAACAACCCCGACGTTACTCACGTTCCAAACAGCAACGCCATGAGATATTTGGGCACCAGAGAATAATGCCAGAAGAAATGTGGTTGTCGTGTAGCGGTAATTATTGTTGTGGCACTTTCCCTCCCACTTGATGTAGAGACATAGCTTGGATGGTAGGATGAATCAATCACGAGTTCGAGTCATAAGGTGGTTGAATATACAATTGATGTTTGATTGATGTACAATTCGTACTGGTATTACATCTTGATATCTCTGATAATCCCAAAAAAGCCCAAACAATGCTGTGTAGTACCCTTTACCACGCACCGGAAATTTCAATCGTTTCCGCTAAGCCATTTCGTTCCATAATTCCCATGATCATTGTTTTAGATTCCCAATTTACAGGTTGGCAACGAGAGCAGCACCGCCGAAGAGAGCACCAAGAGCAACGGCAGCAGTCTGAGCGGGGGCGGCACCGGGGGCAGAGGTGCTCTGAGCAGAGGCGACGCTGGAGGCGGCGGAGTTGGCCTTGCTGGTGACGGAAGCGATCTTGGAAGAGATGGAGGCAGAGCCAGCGGCATCGGTGGCGGAGGTAAGTTGCTGGCTCAAGGAGCTGACCTCGGCACCGGCAGAGGAGGTAATGGAGGCGATGGCCGAAGAGGCGGCGCCGGCGGCGGACGAGGCACCGCTCAGGATGGAGGAAGCCTCGGAGGCAATAGCGCTAGAGGCGGAGCCGATGAGGGAGCTGACCTGAGAGGCGCCGGGGACGGCGGGGGTGGTGGAGGCATCCTGGGCCTGAAGACGGTTTATCAGTATGTGGTAGGAGAGAGTGTGATGAAGATTCAACTTACGGCGACCAGGGAGACCAGGGCGAAGACGGTGGCGGCGGAGAAACGCATTTTGACTGATTTAAGTTTGTTGGATTTGGTGTTTAGGGAATGGAGTTATTGAATTAGATATCGAGTAGTCGAGGACTGTATATGTGTATGAGATTTGGTTGATTGGATAGAGTGGAGGGAAGGGAGACGACTGGAGGATGGGCTGACGGACAGAGGTCTTATATATCTTCTGATGAGACCATCTAGAGGGGAGTACTGGGAAGAGAGAGCCAAGCCGAGCCGCCTGTACCCCGTTCGTTCTCTCACTCACCTCTCTTCCTCTCCTTACCTCACACCCCCAATGAACCGTTCGTCATTCACATTCATCTCACACCCCCCTCACGCCGAGAGAGGCCAGGCACCACCACAAGAATCCTCCATCAAACGCCGGGCACGCAAGCCTAGCACCAAGAATACTTGGCGCGTTGGTGTGTTGTGGTAGGCAAGGGGAGGTACTCCGTACACCGTACTCGCGGCGTGGGCGGTGCGATGATGGGATTCCTTTCCCCGTTTTCGCCTCCTTTCGTTTGGGCGAGAGGGCTAAGAGGCGGAACCAGGGGGTGGAGGTCAGTCCAAGGAGGCTAGGGGAATACTTGGTTAAGCTGTTGCTAGTCTAGCGGACCACGGGTGGCACTCCGAGACTTGATGCTACGTACCCCGGCCAAGGTCGAAGCTGGGGAGGGGAGACCCATGTTCGGATATCCCAGACATCCCAGAATGCGCGAGTGCCAGACTCCCAGTCGTGAAGGAGGTGTGCTCTATTCGTGGTTTATGTCTGTCTCTGTGGGTTGTGACTCCGTAGGACCAAAGGGCGAACGACAAAGACCCACTTCCTCACGTCATCCCCGCGGTAACAATGCAGTTTCCCAACTGCCTTCTCGGTACTCTTTCTCACTCTACGCAGTAGACTCTAGCAACTAGGCCCAATCGATGGTGGCCAGCTGGAGCAGCTATGAGAAAGAGGCCAGGCTATGGCTGAGCTGACTGAGTTGGCACGGCTGGCCGGTGGGCATACGGACAGGCGTGACAGGCTGGATGGTCGGCATTGGCAAAGCGGAAAGCTCTCCCTACCTGCCCCTCTGGCAAGCCTGCATGTCTGAGACTGGGGATACCGGGGATCATGATCCCATCTTGGGAAAGATCAGGAATTCCGAGGTAGCCTGCTGTCTGCTGTGCTGAATCTGTGCCACCTCCTCTGTCTTTCTCAGCCACTGGTCTTTTCTCACGGCGATGATTTGACCGTGGCCATCAAGCACTAACACCGTGAGCACCCTGCAGGACAAAACGCTGGACGGCCATGCTAAACGCAGCTGAAGTGTACGTATGTTCCAAAGCAGAGAAAACCGTGCAGGAACCGTCGAAGAATCCGATGCCGAGAGAGAGGCAACATTTCCAATTGGGATGGGCACCTAATGATGTCGTCCGCCCCCAACGAGAAACAAGCGCCACATTAGGCCGGATCTTTTAGCCAAACGGACTCGAATCTAGCCCACGCTCGAGACGTGTGGATATGTGGCTAGGCTCGAGCGGCAGCCGTAAGGTCGACGGTTACGAGGACGATGGCCGAGAGAGGCGGAGGAGGACGACGACGGTGGCGCTCTGCGTGGCTAACGGTTTGGCTCATGAAAGCATCAAGGGATTAGCCCGGCGCAACTGGTACCTACCAGCTGTTAGGCACCTGAGATCCGTCAATAGCTTTGCTATGCCTCTCGGCTTTGGTGTTCCCAAAGATAGCAGCAGTGATTATGCTCGCAAGCCACGCGGGACGTACACAGCCAACGGCGTGGAGCAGCAGGATGAGGCATTGACGGGAGGATGACAATGCTATCCCGCTATATCCACAACGTCAGCCCTCGGCTCGATGCGATGCTTGCATACCCAATTGCATGTGTACATCAATAACGGAGAAACAAGTCCGCTTTCCTTGCTCGTCGTCCGCTTTTCCGTTTTGTTTTCAGCCGGGAGAAGCGAGTCAATTGGCAAAATGTATTGTGGGTTCGGATGAGGCGGTGGTGGACGGGGGAAAACGAGCATGGCCTATGCTGTCCAAGCAAACAAATGCAAAAACGAATAGCAACATGTCATCAACAATAACAAAAAAAAAAAACGGGGGGTTCCTTTTGGAGAAGGTACGGAGTACCTACTCGGGCAGACAGGCATTGGGCCAGTGGCAGACACCAACCGGAAAGAAAGAGACATGGACATGGGTAATGAAGGTAGGTACCTTCCCGCGCATGCAATGACACCATGGGCCAAGGACTTGGGGCGCTGCGACGGCGGCGAGGAGGAGATCGACAGGAGGTGGAGAAGAGATTGGAGGGATATGATTCGTCAAAGCTCGCTATTCCCGCGTCTAGAGGCCCCCCATAAGGCCCATGCTCCGTACTGGAGAAACCGCCAGCCATGACAAAGTCCCGTCGACATCGGATATGGATACGTACCTGCACCTCACCGTGTTACTAATGGATACACCTCTCCAACGTGGATCAACTCACAGAGTCACAAGACGTAAGGGAAGGGGAAATGGGCAAGGGAAAAAAGAAAGAGACGGTGACATGGGGGAGGGTCGTCCAGACAATCGTACTGTTTGTCCAGTGCTCTCGGCCAATTGCCTGAGGTGCTGTTCCACAGTTTCACAGTCTCACGGCAGAAGACAAGGCTTTGCTTCGATGGAAGCCTAGGAGGAGGAGGAGGAGGAGGAGGAGGAGGAGGAAGCACCATGGAACAAACCAGAGACTCAGAGGATGAGGCTTGTGTACATGCGGAGTACATACTATGTGAGAGAGCGAGAGAGAGGGCGGAGCTTCACTGACTGTCGGGTCCCCCGGATCGACATTTTCTCTTCGTTGGGTCTCTGTTGAGGCTGCCAGCTGGCGCAGCTGAGAAAGAGCTGAAGCAGACACAGAACACTGCCCACCTGTCAATGAGAGGTGTGTCCCATCTTTCACTCCAAAGTCTGCAATAAGCCTCTTGCCAGCCTGCCAGCTCGAACTCAAAACTCAAAAACAGAGGTCCTGTTGGGTTTCTTGACAGGCGTGGGAAAAAAAGACGAGCAAACTTTCTTTCTGCTCGTGGAATCTGATCTGCCAAGGATTCTTACGCTTACCCGGAAGCTTGATGCACTGACGTGGGCAGGCACAGGCAAGGCAAGGTCAATGCAAGCCGCTAGGCATCATGCTTCTTCTCACAGGCCCTTTCGAAAGATCCTCACACAGCGCTGATTTCATATTTCTCTCCTTTCAATTGAGCCCTCATTAATATTGCCATCTGAGAGTAAGATTTTCTCTGGCCTGTCACGTCCTGTCTGGAGATGAAGTCAGGACACCACCACCTCCGGAGGCTAGAGCGAAAAGAGGACAGTGTCGCGAGCCGAACTTCGCTGTATGCGTACGTACATGGTATGAGCCGTCATCCGCGGAAGGGGGTGGGCCTCTGTTTGATTTATCGCTATGACGTATGAATGTGGCTGCCCCCCTGCCATTGGAGGTTCCACTCGCAGGCCCCATCATTAGCATCACGTTCGGAGCCCGGAGGAATTATGCAAGATGAGACGGAGGAAAAAGATGGCATCTCCCGTCGCTCCGGTTCGCAGCTTCGAAGCTTGGTTATCAATGTATGTATGAACTTCGCTTGGTCTGTTAGACCATGGAGAAGACGGGGGGTTGCGGGGAGCTGCTTGCTTGGGGTTCCGGCCGTTGGAAATTGGGAGCTCGCTACCTAGCTTGCTAGTCTCCAGACTC